TGTAGATCCACGGTTTGTTGGGTCACCAAAACAAATCTAAAAAATAAATGAAAAGGAGGGGGAGAAGGAGGCCCAGGGAAGCCAAACTGAGTGTGCAGGTGGGCAGCTGGGGTACCTCCGACAGCAGCTGTTTTATGGGATTCTTGGACAGAATGTGCAAAATCCCAGGCTTCCTGAAGCCGTCCTTGCTCTTGACCACTGTGTTGTAAGTGCATAGTTATTCTGTTGTCCAGCAGTTAATGCTCTGACCATCACACCCACACTGGGACTCTTGGCCCTACCTTCCCAACTTTTCCAAAATGCGTCTACTTTCAACAGCTGATACCATCTGGAAAGCTTTGGAAACAAAATAACTCTGAGTTTCTAGTCAGATTTTACACATTTTATACTTCATAGTTTCTGTGTCCCTAAAAGTGAGAATTTTAATATAAATGGTTATATTTTATTTTCCTTCTCAAGTACTTGCTATTCTTCTGCCTGCAGTGTGCCCCCCCCCTCAATATCACAGCTATGACAGGCTTCGTGTCAAGTCTAAACTTAAACTTACGTCTTCAGGAAGCAGATGTGTATTTTCATCACTCCACTCAGTAACGTATTACTGTTCACAGGTCATGGTCATTGCTCTTCAAGATTATTTATATATGTACTGTCTGTTGTTAATCTGCCCACTGTTGGTAATAAAAAATCCCTAGAATGTTGTCTTAGACAGAGGAAACCCATGAGAATTATTTGTTGAATGAATGAATGAGGTAGATTATTTCCAAAGGTGATTGCTGGTAATTTCTCCCATCCCTGCATATCCATGCCTCTACTTCTATCACGGAAAAGAGTTGATTTTCTATCCCTTTTAATCTGACCTGACCTTGTGATTTTCCCTTGATCAACAGTGTTCAGTGGTTGTGACACTGTGCCAATTTGGGGCTTAGCTCTTAGGGTCTTCCACTTTTGCTATCTTTGGGTGATGAGCCACTGTGTCGAGAGTTGCAACAAATAACTAAAGCAGCAGTTTTCAACCTGTGGGTTGTGACCCCTTTGTGACAATGAAAACACATCTTGCATATCAGATATTTACATTATGTATGATTCCTAACAGTAGCAAAATTACAGTTATGAAGTAGCAAGGAAAATAATTTTATGATTGGGGGTCACCACCACATGAGGAACTGTATGAAAGGGTCGCAGCATTAGGAGGCATCAGGAAGGTTGAGAACCCCTGAACTAAAGGAAGAAGTCCTGAAGGAGACAAGACTACAAGTGAGAGTCTCAAGCAGCCACCAGCTATTCCAGCCAGCCCAGCTTAGGAACCCGACTGGTGCGTACATCTCCCATGGACGCCACAGTCAATGAGGTAAGGCCTCTCTGCCAAACGCTGACCAGAGGCAGAATCTGAAAAAGTTGTTGTAAACCAAAGAGTTTGATATGATTTGCTGCGCAGCAATAGACACCGAAAATAATCCTCGGTATAAGAAATTGGATGCGACTGCAACACAAATCTAAAATAGATCGTGTTGGTAATGGAAGTAGGAAGAGCCTTGACAGACAGGGAGGAAACGATTAGTAAGAGATAGAAGAAGGGTGAAAAATTGCTTTTGGATGCTACGGAAAGGTAAATGCATACGAAACAATGCTGGGAAAATTAACCTGAGTCTCAGCTGCGGTAACTTGGAACACTAAAACTCATTCCTGATGAGCCTGTGGCCCTGCGTAAGGAGGTTTCAGGCCAAATGCTGACCTGACCACACTCATTGACAGCTTTTATTTGCATATGATAAGCTAGTGCAAAGGACAGATGAGCTAAAGGAAGTGTTCCATTTCGAAGAAGAATTTAGAGAAACTACAATGGTCCTAGGACAGAATCTCTAGCTGGTAAAAAAATAGCCTTTTTTTTTTTTTAAAGGTAAAATCCAGGGTGCTGCCAGTAAAATATTAAAGTTAAAAACCAAGTGATGGGCATGACCAGAAAACCCCTTGTTAAGAATTCTGAAAGCAACTCACGGTCTTTGGCAATAGATGCTCCTGTTCCATTTTCTTCAGTTGTTTATACATTGATGCATTTCACACACACAAAAAGCATACGTTTCACAAATGTGATTAATTAGGATCACATTGATACAAAGATTGGGCAATATTTCATTGTCAGTTAATAGTTATTAACTTGATTTGGACATAATTGGGCACATCTGTTCTTATAGGTATGGTAAACATGGAACAGCCCTCCGTCCAGTGTTTCAGCAAAGATAGGTTTTTAGAACCAAAGTGGAAATGCCTATGGAAGAATAATTTTAACAAATATGCTTTGTTATAATCTCATCTGTATATGAGGGCTGTCCAGAAAGTATCCATGGCTGCATATTTAGGCTATATATAAATATTTCAAAAGGGCACTGAAACTTATTATTGTCTCATGAAGTTCATTGTACATGATTCTGTTGATCCCATTACACAAAATTACATTAGGAGAATCCTAATGATAAATTTATTTCTAATTTTTGTATTAAACATACACATTTTTCCCAGACAAATCATTTTTTACATGTTGTGGATAGGCCCAAACTATATTACCTGGTTTTTCTTTTTCAAACTCTAGGATAAGACACACTTCTCCAGAGGTACATGGCTCCCTTATAAAAAGTCTTCCTGCGGTCTTGAAATTTGTTCTCTGATCCTAGTTTTAATTCATTTCTTTACCTCTATATTTAATTTCTTTATCTCAGAGAGAATCTATAAGTCATTATAACCTGTTTGTAAATACTTTTTGTAAAAGGAAAGAGTTTTAATAAACTGATCTATCCCGCTTTATTTTTTCATTTGTCGTTATGTAATTAGAATTTTTCTAAAATTTCAAGAACTATAGTATTTTGTTTTATGAATGTAGCATGTTCAATTAATCATGCTCACTATTGGAGATACTGGATTGGTATTGTTTTTACTATTATAAAAACTATAATAACTTTGCACTTAAGTTTTTCTCCATATATCTTTGTTTTTTTTTTTCCCTTGAGATTATAATTTCTTGCTTAAAGCCTCCTGAAATCTATTACCAAATCACTTTAGAAAGACTGTAACAACTTGTATTCTCACTGTCAGGGTGCCCACTCAAACATACCTTGCCAGTACTGAGCACGGTCATTGTTCAAGACATTGTTAACTGACTAATAAAAAGGCGTTACATGATTTAGTGCACATATTTTTATTATTAGTAAGAGCCATATTCTCAATGGTGCTTTTTTATCTCATATCATGTTTGCATGGACCTTTATGCCTACCTGTTAGTAGAATTGTGTCTATCCATGTGCTAATTCTACACTTTCAGAGAAATAGCACTTAGTAGGTAGGTAGATACTATGGTCTGAATGTTTGTGTCCCCCAAACTTCTATGTTGAAGGCTGATCACGAATGGGATCCTATTTGGAAGTGGGGGGAAGGGTGTCTTTGGGAGGTGATTGGACCATGTGGGCTATGCCCTTTTGAAAGAGACCCTGGACAGCTACTTTGTCCCTTCCACCATCTGAGGAGACAGAGAGAAGATGCCACATCTGCACCAGAGAACAAGCCCTCCCAAGACATGGTTCTGCTGGTGCCCTCACCTTGGACTTCTCAGCCACCAGAACTGTGAGAAGTTCGTTTTTGCAGCTCATAGGCCACCCAGTTTATGGTATTTGGTCACAGCAGCCCAGGGACTGAGAGAGTAGACCATTTTAAATTTTCAAGTATCAAGATGATTCTTACACATGAAGTCCAATGCCAAGAATCTCTTTACGTAAATAATCCAACAATTGAACATATTTATACAAGTGAATATCCACTACAACGGTATTTGCAATAGTGAAAAAGTCATAATATAAATGTCTGACAATATCAAAATGATGATGAATAATATGACTACTGCATGAAATATTAGATATTAAAAATGATGCTTATAGAAATTGTTAATGATAAAAGGTTATGTTAAAATATGCTGAAATATAAGGACATTTTCAACCATTATATAGAAAAATTTCTAAATACAGTGTTTAATAATGTTAAGAATAAACGTTTTCTGGGCTAAATTTTTTAAAGTAAAGAAGAAGAAATAATTGACGAAACATGAACTGTGATGAACTCTTAACTGTGGAGTAGAATTAGCCACCTTTTTTATTTTCTTCTCTGAAAATTTCCATTAATTTCTGAATATCACCATGGTATACTGATTGTTTTCCTAAAAATTTATTCTAGATTAAGGTAGAGCTATATTTTAAAATGGAATGCTTTTATTGTTATCAAAAAGTTATTATTTTATAGGGATTCATTGAGGGTACAAGATATGTCACACACTGAGACCCCCCCAAATAAAAAACAGTTATTTCTAATGACATGGCCAATATCCCAATTTCTATTTATCAATATTTTTAATATCCCTCAGCTGAAAGTATTCAAGACACAAGAGAAGATTCCTATTTTACAAGCTCACTTCTTTCCCTGCAAAAGTTTAATACGGTTTTAATTCAGTACCACAGGAAAAGAAGAAATAAGAGTGTTTTAAGATGAAAAAAAAAAGTATGGAAGAGAACGATATCTAAAGTGCCAAGTTTCTGACTTTGCAACCTAAAACAACACAAACTTACGTGAACAAATAATCCATGTTCAATCTAAAGTGTCACCACATTAATCCAGGCTGTGCCACCTCACCTCACTGCGTCCCTTCAGGTCACTGAATCTCTCAATGAAGATGGCTAATAAAATTTGACAGCTCAACCGGCTAAGGCGCCAGCCACATACACCTAAGGTGACGGGTTCGAATCCCCAGCCCGGACCCGCCAAACAACAATGACGGCTGCAACCAAAAAATGGCCGGGCGTTGTGGCGGGCGCCTGTGCTCCCAGCGACTTGGGAGGCGGAGGCAGGAGACTCGCTTGAGCCCAGGAGTTGGAGGTTGCTGTGAGCTGTGATGCCACAGCACTCTACCCAGGGGGACAGCTTGAGGCTCTGTCTCAAAAAAAAAAAAAAAAATTGACAGCTACCTGTCAAATGAGGGCTTCTCTCCACAGTCAAAGGCATCCTGCAGCTCCTTCACGAGGTTAGCCTGGCCTGGCAGGCGAAAGAGGCCCTCTTCTCTCAGCCCCCTCTGTCGGATGAAGTCCACGCACTGCTCCACTAACATCGGAGCCAGACGGTTCCCATATCTCTTCTCATAACGGACAGTGTCTTCCAGTTTCTGTCCGAAAATGCCTGGAAAAAGAAAGCATTCAAGTCAATTTCAGAACTTTATCTCATCCCGCCTTGCTGTGTTCTTTAAAATTCATTATAACAGAAAAACAAAGATCGGAGGACTAACAAGGAATTAACATCGGGTATTTCACATCATAGCATCATATTCATTACATACAGTTCTTCATATGATAGGACTTTACTGTGCACTGGCCCTTTCCCCTGGATTCTGTGTTTAGCCCCAAACCAAAATAGAAATACTGAGCTTGCGATATCCACTTTGAAATAAGAAACGTGTAATAATAACTGTAATGAGTTTAGGGTTTTCTTTTTATTTTTTTCCTTCTGGGAAAGTAATTATTTTCAAAAGCTTAGAAGCAGAAAGATTCCGGAGACAATAGCCCAATTCTACTTTTGTTACAGTTTTATATTTAGCTCCAATTTGCATTCAGTTTAAATTCTGTTCATTTCTTTTCTTCTTTTGTTTTCAATCAAGTTGCGATGCTATCTATGATTGTAATCAAGATTATAAAAGCAGAAAAAGAAAGCCTGAATTTTCTTCCATATAAAATCCTTCAGATAATAACTGTTCTCTAAAATCTGAAGCCATTAACTTATTTGGAAGGAAAAAGTTAAAATTATAAAGCAGTGCATACTAAAAACTAAAAGTGGAGAGCTGGGGTCACGGTGGTTTGCACTGGAAGAGAGAGTATTTCATGATGTGCATTGTCTAGAATTGTTGGCACATGTGGCAATAGAAAGCAAGTCAAATTTTAGTTTTATGAATGATTTTAAAAGACCTACTGACCACAGATTCCTTGGTTCAGCATCAGGGGCTGAACACCACCTCTATTCCATCTTTGGTACCCCACAGATTAAAAGACAATATAACAAACTGTCTTCTAAAACATACTATTAAGTGGTAGCTTGGCAAAAATGGTGAGAAAAGGGGAAAAAAACAGCTAACGCAAATATGACACCAATGTTCCCAGATGAAATGAATATCACTAAATGTTTTAATGGTCTGATGAGTTTCATGAAAGGGGAAGAAAAATAAGCATCCTGCATGTTGAAATTATGTAAGAATCCAGAATGTTTGGCAAATTATTTAATAGCCATTCAGTTAAGGATTTGATAATAACAACAGATGCTTTGCCTCCCCACCTGTAAAATTATTTATTTATGAATTCAGTAGTGCAAAACCATCACATCGCATGCAATGAAGACTTGCTGCCAAAGAGAATGTTCTTAGCCCAGGTAGAAAAAAGAACAACAATGAATAAAACTACTCTACACCTGGCATCAAAACTAGCACTAATGGAGTTCATATTTTTTAAAGAAATACGGTTGAGTGATCTACTATCCATATACAAGTGCAGAGAAAAAAAGATTAGAAAATGGCATTTTTCTAAGGGCAGTGAAGATTAGAGAAGTTAACACATGTATTTAGCTTTGTTTGTAGACTTTAAATCCTGAGTTCTTTGATAAGGGTGTGTCAAACATTATTACCTAACTCAGCACACATTCATGTATCTCTTTTCTCTTGGCATCTCCATTTTATAATTCAGAAAACTAAATCCTTTTCCCACTTCCATTGTAGTGGGGTGGCCATGTGTCATAGCTCTGGCCAAGAAGTCTTCTGGAAGCTTTAGGAAGACTCGATTTCTTGATGAAAGAAAAGACAGCTGCAATCGTAAATCGCTCCTTTTTCTTGTCTTAAACATGGGTATGCCGTTGGTCCTTACACTAGTCATTTTTTGACCATTAGACAGCAATGACAAGGGAACATCTAAATGATTAACAAACGGGCTGAGGCTGAGATCATTGAACTACTACTGACCCAATGCCAGCAGCCCCTTCATTGAGCTAGTTTTTCATGTGAGAAAAATAAGTGGATGGGTGTTTAAGCTACTGTTAGTTGGGTTTTCTGTTACTTGTAACAAAATAAAATTGTAACCCATTCAGTGGTGATGCTGATTCTAAAGATATTCTAGTGTTTTAATAGTAAGGCCTAAAATGGGTTATGGTTGAAAATTATTGACTCCCTTTCTGTGGAACTCTTTGAAAACAAACATGATATTTACCTGTAATGTGTGGACTCTATCCTATCAAAGTTCAGTAAATAGCCTTTCAAAAGGAAGTTCCTTAAAAAATAACATATGGACATATGAGAATAAATCTTACGTGATCTGTGATTTTTCACTTTAGGTTTGCTTCGGATTGATAAATTCATTACCTAAGTGCTCTCTCTAAATCCAGAGAAAAACCTACTGAAGATATTCCAATTCAACTTCTATGTCTGCTACAAACGAGACCAATGAGAACCAAACTTCCATGATTTGGTTTTATACAATAATGGAAAACACTTAAACTTGTTTTCTTATAATTCTTAGGATTCCTTTTTTGCCAACAACTCAAGAATGTGGTGAAGGAAGGGATGTGTTGAGATGTAGGCTCTGGTTCCCTATTTATTTTCTTGTCCATGCAGGCTTGCTTCCTAAGTAAATTCTTATCATAAGCAAAAATCCTCAATGCATTAAGTATACAGTGTATATTAAATCTCTGACAAGTATTTTTTAATCTTTGTAAGAAATATATAAGATAGCTATCACTCTCCCTATTTCTAACTGAGGAAATTGATGAAACAATCTGTCCAAGGTTAGTGAAATCAAGCAGATTTATTCACCTTTAAAAATCTTTGCTCATTCGTGAATTTAAAAAATTTTGTTGTCATTTAATCTTAATTACATGAGGCCTCTTCATTTTCTACTTATTTAAAATATGAGCAAATTCTAAAACTGAGTAAAATAATGTATACTTATTGTGCTTTAAAAAATGACACCAGGTAAGCCTGCTTTTGTATGGTAGGCATATTACAAGCAGTTTAGCTGCTTGTTTAAAACTCACAGCACCCTGCCAGGTAGGGAAACCACGACTCCCATTTTAGTGATGAGGAGCTCAAAGAACAGACATGCTACGTAACTTGCTGCACGTCACACAGTCGGGTAAACAGTGGAGTGAGATCTGTTCACGGCTGAGGGATTTCATAGCCACTGTGTATCAATGACACAGCACTGTAGAATGCATATAACGGCTGAAAATCATTACAGAGGAAGGAAACTGTCACGTGCTAGCTTTCTGACCTCAATTCCTCCCATCACACTAGAAGGGGTGAGACATGAGAGAAAATTTAAGTTGAGGGGGATGTCAGAAGAAAAAGGAGAAGAAAAAACTCTGGCACTTCAGTAAGCAATCATGACCCCCCCCCCACAATAATTCCTTTTATGTAAAGATGTCTATTTAGCAGTGTAACATGTAAGAAAGCCAAAGTGTGTACACAATGCATAAAGATGATTAGGAATTCCTGTGGAAAATGAGTTTTCTGCTGTGGAGCTGGTCTTGCAAAGAATTAGTAAAGAATTATAACAGACGCATACTCCCACTTCTATAGCATTGAAAACAGAGTGTGCCAAATGTCCCAGGCTTACAATGCAGGGTGTGGATTAACCTCCTGCATAAGAAAGCTCTCCGTAAGGGAAGTCATTGATAGGGGAAAAATTATTTTTAAAGAGTCCTTTATTTGAAATTGTCCTTGAGGACGCAGTGAAACTTTGAATAGCAAAATTAACAAAAAAGCACAAAGGTCATAGGCTACCCCCAACTAGCAGCATGAAGAGAGAACATACTGATCAGTAGATTCAGTAACAAGAATATTCCCTGTGGTGTGGGTCATGCAAACAGTCCTAGCTATGTCCATTTACATTCCCAGAGAGATTTCGCGTTCCCTGACAAAACTATCCTTAGAATTTCTGGGTGACAATGGTATTTCCTGCTTACTTCCCTTGACAGTACATTGATGGTGTCACAAAACGTCACCCAGGATGTGACTTCTCACTGGACGAGGAAGCACATCACACCGGTGGATTTATTACACCTGTTCCAAGTGGAGTGAGCGAGAGAGAAAGTGCACATCCCTCAGGGCTGGTGAGGGTCCTTCCTTACATGTGACTTATACACAGGGAGTGAGTGTAATTAGATGAAATACACTCAAATTCTATTCTTCCTAACAGGGTGTACGCCAGTGCTAAGCCAAACTGCGTGGACTCCATGGCCTATAACTATTCATTCTCTTTGCTTCTTGGTTCCGAGTTCAGCGTAACTCTGGTTCCATTTCACCATTTTCTCTCCACCTGATAACTTTGAAATTTGACCTCTGACCTAGTCATTCCATTAAAATGTTTTTTTCTGCAGTCAACAACTTTCCTAGTTGGCAAATCATGAGCAGGCACATTTTTTGTATTAATTTATGCTTCACTCCCTTCAAAACTGCCAGTCTCCTTCTCTTCCGGACACTGCCCCAGGGACTGATTCCTGCCTCTCTGAATGCTCTTCTCAGTCTCTTTCTAGACTCTGCTGCCTACTACACCCTTCCTGTGAGTTCTGTGGCAATTGGGGTTCTGTCCTCAGCCCTATTTTTGCTTTACTTGATTCAGTTTCTGTGCTGGACTCTCTCCGATCTCCCTGTGTATCAATCATTCTCAGATTTAAATCTCAATCTGGGCTATTGCTATGATCTAGCACTGGCTTTCCAAGTGCCCATTAGACCCCTCACCATGGATATCTCAAAGCATCCCCAGACTCCCAATGTCTAAAACTGGCAGAGTCTTCTTTTCTGCGAAGTCTGTTTGACCTCGTAAAGTTCTGGGTTGGTTATCAGTACCAGCTGACCCCCTCATCGCTGAAGTGCCATCAGGGAGTCAGCCCACATTCTTCCTTTCTTCATGCCACTCACTTACTGACCACAACAGTCCCCTGGAAACCCCTCACCACTACATTAGATCAGATCCTCACTATTTTCTTTCATGACTTTTGAAAGAGCAGAGTTCCTAATCCAGGCAAGTGTTGCCATGGTGATCTTCATAATATTTCAATTGCATCACACACGCTTCTGCTTCCTGTCGTCCGGTGGTGCCCTCTGGCCTGTTTTTGCAACTAAACTTCTTTTCATGAAATAAAGTCCC